GCAACTCAGTGAGACCTGTCTCCAAATAAAATACAAAAGAGGGCTGGGGACATGGCTCAGGGGTTGAGTGCCCCTGAGTTCAATCCATAGTACCAAAAAATAAAATAAAGAGTCTCTCCAGCCTCCCGTGACAGTCAAGCCCTGTGCCTGTGTCCCCACACAGGAGGACTGGTGTGCCACGGTCAAGGTCACACACTTGATCTTTACAGAATGGAGAACATGAGGGCTAGACTTGCAGTAGGACGATGCCAGCCGTCTGGCCAGCCAGGCCTGAGACGTGGAGCCCTGGGCCTTGTCAGGGCTGCTCTCCCCTAGTAACGGCTGCTCCCTGCTCCATCCAGCGGGGCTCCCGGATCTGGAACAGCTTCCAAGCAGAGCTGGGGGCAGGGGTGCAACTCTGACTACATTTGGAAAATTCTATCTCCTGGGAAGCCTCAGTTCAAACGCCCCCTGAACACTTCCCCCAGGAGAAGGGCTCCTGGTGTTGGGAACCGCAGGGGGGCCCTTCTTCCAGAACCACCCGGTCCCTTCCCTTTGCCCCAGGTTAGGGGGAGGCTGTTGGCCACAAAGCAGGTCCCAGCACCGTCAGTTTATGACCTGGGGACCAGAATAGTCTCCCTTCTAAGGTCTGACAGGACACCCCATTGGCCAGGGGATGTTCATCAGGGGGGCAAAGCAATTCTTGCTGTAATATTGTCCCATCAGACCAAATGCCTGGGTGACTGGCAGAATAAACAGCTGTACCCAGAAACTAAAAGGGCAGAAACTAAAGCCCACCTGTGCTTCGTGGGCAGCCTCCTCCTAGGGATCCTCAGGGAAGCCTAAGAAACGGGAGGAAAGGCCCCGCCACGGCGTATCCATGAGCCTAGTGGAGGAAAAGGGCCCAAAGGAGCCTCGGGACCACCGACAGCAGGAAGCCGCTTAACGCTGACGGCATTGTATAATGAGAAGCAGACAGACAGTCAGACTCAATGCCTGTCCTCCAGCCCCAGGACTGCAACGTGGAGGAAAAACGATTAAGGCACAGTGTTTTGCTTTTTTTGTATATGCTGGGTTGTCCAACCCTCTCCTGGGATGAAATTTGTGTGTCAATTAAATGTACAAATAACATTCATAAAGTCTGTGTCACAATATGAATATAAGAGTCACAAACTACAAAAAAATAAAAGAAAAGGATATGTATGGAAATACATTTTAGTATGGAAAATTGGAAGGTAAAAAAAATGTTTCTGGATGAGAAAATATTTTGGCTGGTTAAGTAATATTCTAAAGTCCAAGAAGAAAGGGGATGAAACTTACATGTAAAGTTGTGAATGTCTAAGTCGCAGAATGTTTGTGGAAGGTAAAGCTCAAAAAGTGTGTTTGTGATTAAATTGGCTATAAGTGACACAGTCAGTTAAAGTTATTTGAATTTGAATGTACTGATATAAAAATCTGAAACACAGATCTACTCTTATTATCACCATAATTTTCTTGTATTTGTGAGGTTTTATTATTTGTGGAAACTCAGTCTTAAAGGAATTAGGGTTTGTACCTGTTGTACAGCCTTAAATGATCACTTTGTAACTGGTCAAGGAAACAATTGTTATTTAAGTTATAACAATATTGTTGACACTCAAAATATATGTGACTAGGTGTATGTAGGCATCTGAGAACAATACCTGTCTAAGCCCTGTCTACTTGTTATGTAAAAGTTTATAAAATGAAAGCTTATGTAAGTTTGCCAGCAAGATAAGCAATAAGTGCTCCCTTCTATACATTATGCTCTCTTTTTTGACATAGAAGGGCCACACTGTCATTCGAAGTCCTGTCTTATATCTGTTTGCTTTAACTAAGCCAACTTCTGGTCATTAACACTGTTTCCTAAATGTGGTAGAGATTTAAGGCTACTCTTGGATTTTTGTTAACCCGTGCAAACCTGTGATTATTGTTACTGTACACTCAGGATTGTAAATTGGACTTTAAAAGTTAAACTTAGTTAAATGTAAAGCTTAGGAGGGCTCTTTAACAAGTTGGTGTTCTCCAAACTAAAACTGGGTGTAGCAAGTGTCTCGGGTTTATAGAAAAATGACAATTTTGATTGGTATTTATTCATGTCATTTGATGTTTTATAGCTGGATAAAGTAAACTGCTGTCAACTTTGCGTTACTCTTCACCCTGAAATTGAAATTTAAATGCATGTTTGGAAGACAATAAGGAGAGCCTGTTCTGTTCAAAGGAGACACTGTAAAACATGGAAGCATTCTGGCACTTTGTCCACAAAAGGAAAGTTACAAGCTCTCTTAGCCTCTCTTTGATTCATGTTTCAGGTGTAACGTTGTATTGTGTTATTTGTGAAGAGCCCACCTTACCTGAGATAAGGCTCTGCTTCCCACCTTACACCATTTTAAAAATGGCTCCAAAAATGTCTAGACTTCAGCCCATTTAAAGTTGTATTCAGAAGTTGATTTTTGTTGTAAAGATTGCTGTGCTTTCAGACAGGGAATATAATATGTAACTAAGTAAAGGTTCAAGATTATAAAAGCCATTTTTTTTTTGGTTCATAGTTATTACACAAACTGAATATGTTTTTGCTCTGTTAATTCATTTTGTATTTTCCTTGTAAACTTTGTAACTGTTGCCTTTTAGTGTTTTGCAGAGGTACTGCTCATTGAAAATAAACAAACAAACAAACAACCATGGTTAATTTGAGATAATAAGTCATCACCTACAGGACAGACAGTATGTAATGCTGACTTCCAGTACTAATACTGACTTCAATTAAATGAAAGGGGTACCTGTAAAATTATAGATGTTGAAGTCATAATCCGTTATTCCCTCTTTAAGCCTGGTGAAACTTTCTTGCTGGGTATTTACAATCAAAAAGTTGGAGACCAAAGTCAAGGAAGTAAAAGGGCCAAGGAAAAAGCATTCAACATTTTGGCCCTTACCCTTCAAAGGTCAACCAGGACCCAGAGAATGACAGGACCCCTCTCTGGACCCTGCAACGGTAGTGAGTTACCTGATCTACTGAGGGAGATCAAGAGCACCCTAGAGAACAGGAAGCCAACCAGTGCACATTCTGCAAAGTGGAGGGACAGTGGAGATGAAAACGTCTCTGATGCTTCCAAGAGAAGCCACATATGTTCAGCTGGACCCTGACTTATCCTGGCAAGTGGCACCACAGATAGAGGAAAGCTAAAGGAGCCAGGAGGCTTCACACGTGTTCGCAAGGGTGATCTCTGAGGAATCTCAAGTGACTGAAGAGTAGATAGGAACAAGGTCAGTTTTGACCAACTGGTCTTAAACACCTGGCAGGAGAGTAGAGCCTAAGAACAGTCCTACATGCACATTAAAAAGGAAAAACAATTGTTTTTTTTTTTGTGTAACTTAAGATGTACATTTTTGTCAGCCCTACCACAAGCTTTGGGCTATGAAGGAAGGGATATTGTATAGGAGTATCCAATAATAATGATCACAAAGAACTCTAGAGTCCCACGTTTTTCCTGAGTGAATTGGAGCCTGATCTCATACACCTATAAATCTTTTCAACCTCCTATATTGATAAACTCTGTTTTTCACTGATAAGTGCTCATAGTTTTCAGAAACTGGCTGAAATATTAATTACTTCTGTGCTAATTGTTTATAAGCAAAGTAATACTTTGCTGCTTTGTTTATTGCTGCCTTATCGTGATCTCTGCCCTATGTATGCCTTGTCCACTCACCTGTCACCAGCCACTATGGACCTTTGGACTGCTTTGATGCTGAGTGCTTTAAGTGTCCACGCCCCAACTGATAGAAAAAAACGACTTTGGGTTGCTTCCACAAACTTCACCCTCTTTCAGGACAAAGCAGTTTGGAGATGTTGTTGCCTATTTTTCCATAGAAATGGAAGGTATAAATTGACTGTGGGGAAATATAACAGTGGTCCATTGTATGCTTTGAATGTAGCCCTTGCTGCTCTGCCACAGCAACTTGTTTTTTTAAGTGGACATTTTTCTTGCTCTTCCTCTCTCCCTCCACTCCCTATGCTCTCCCCTTCCTAATGTCAGGGGAAACAGGATTACCTTTATTCCCCATCCCACACAGTTATCTGTCCCTGAGTTCACACCCACCATAGGAATGAAGTAATCCTGACTCTGGGGATGGTTCCAGAAGACCTCAGCAATGACTATGTCCCAAATTAACAGGTGAATTACACTGCCAACAGAGAACACGTGGAATGTCGCCTTGGAAACACCTCTTTAAAAGCCCCCTATTCCTGCTTATGGATAGATTCATGGCCTTTGGTACAGGAATTCCCGGTGCTGCTTCTTCGCTAGCAAAGCAATAAAACTTCTTTTTCCTTTATCTTAAAACCATGTCCTCCTAATTGGATTGTCATTTTTTATGTAACCCCCAGCAGTCACCCTGAGTCAAACACAGGCATTTCTGTAGAGGATCCATGCACGATGCAAGTGAGTATCCAAAGATATTCAAATTAAGTGGAATACAGAAAAATCACAAGAAAATTCGGGCCAGTTCAGGTCAGGTTTTGCCCTGGAGTGAATTAGCTGTTTGAGTCTCTGGGCTCAGAGCGTCTGCATGGAAGAATGACAGGTGCAAGTCCCTGATCCTCTAAAGTCTCCCTCCTAGGGTTGGGACAGGGCTGTGTACCTATGTAAGATGTGGTGGGAGAAAGGGGTTTTATAGTTGTCACAGGCAGCGGCCTTTGATCCATAGGCTGGTTGTCCCTGCAGGGTGCTGCCCACCTTGGTCACAGCCTGGTCACAGCAGCTCAGAGCCAGAGGTTCCACAGATGCGGAGCCAAGGTCAAGGGAACTGAGCAGCTTGCTCACCCCACTGCAGCGCTGGGTGGCTTCTGGGCTGCGGGGTCCGCCTGGCAGGACCCATGGCTCCATGACATGGTCCAGCAGCTGCCGCCTCTGCTCTTCTCTGAGCTGGAGGGAGGGGCCTCAGGCTGCTGCTCAGACGCTGTCCACGCCCCAGCCAGCCTCGGGCTTGGATTCTGCAAATCAGCCTCCTGCTCAGTCACTGGGTGGGAGGCGAAAGTGAAAGAAAAAGTGGCGCTTTTTCGGGGAAAGCCCAGGTCTTCTGGGAACCTGCCTCTAGCTGGTCCCTGGCTTGTCCTGGGAGGCGGTGGCTTGGCCAGGCCACTGCCTCTGCCTCTGTCCCTGTTCCCAGCTCGCTGCTGCAGCACCAGGGACCCTCAGGAAGGTGAGCACAGAGGTGCGGTGGCCCTTTCCCCCACACCTGGAGCAGAGGGACCGCAGGCTAGGGAGCCAGGGCAGGGGCTGGGCTCCTGAAGGAGCAGGTGCCAAGGGTTGGCTCCTGGCTCTGGACAAACAGCTGTCCTCAGGGCGACTGGGCTTTGCCTCCCCGCAGCTGGGAACTGTGCAGCTCAGGGCTCCGGGCTCCGGGCTCCGTTCTTCTCCTGAGAAACCCGGGGCCCCGCAGCTTCAGGGCTCCTCTTGGAAGAAGCTGCAGCTGGCTTCGCCTCCTGATGCAGCCCCAGTGTCCCGTCCTCTGGATTCAGGATTATTTCGTCCTGTTTACTTGATGAACGACGCAGGGAGGTGTCCTGGCAGTTACTGAGCCAGGCATTTTGCAGAGATTTCCCGGATAAAGAGAGAGCAGCGAGGACAGTCCTGAGACTACAGAGCTGGAAAGGGACGGGAGGGGCTCTGAACCCACTTCAGCCACCTGTGCCTCTGCTAAGGCCCCAGCTGCTGGTTATGTACCCCAACAGAAGAAGGCCAGGACACAATGCAGGGCAGCACCAGGCCTACAAACTAGGGGATATGTCCTATGCAGGACAGGTGGCATGCCCCCTGCCCAGGTGGCTTTCTTCTGAAGTCTTATGAGTGCTTTCTTTTATTTTATAACCAGAGTCATCTGTTCAGATCCTCTCCTAAAGGTAGAAGACACGGAAGTGGCCGGCTCCTCTCCATTTTCCTCATTGTCACCTTCCTTAGAGTCCTTCTTACCTCTCTGCAAGCTTTCCCAGCACTAACTAGTGGCACTAGGGACTGAATTCAGGGGTGCTCTACCACTGAGGTATATCCCTAGCCCTTTTTATTGTGAGAGAGGATCTTCCTAAGTTGCAGGGGCTTCCCTGGAACTGATGATCCTCAGCTTTCTGAGTAGCTGTTTTAGGTGTATGCCACCACACCCTACAGCTTGATATGGGTGGCAATGACTTGAGAGTGTACAGTAGGACCCCATATTCCCAGTTTTGCTTTTCATGGTTAAGTGGAAAATTCCAGAAATAGTTCACTATGTTTAACCCTTGCAGTGTTCTATGGAAGGAGTCGGGGAGGGATTAAACGTCCAAAACCTCCCCGTTGAGTCTGACGCAGAGGGAGCCCTCCCCAGCACCAAGCCTGCCTCTGCAGGCACCTGGACCTTGGCCGTGCAGCCTCCAGAACTGGGCAGGACACATTTCTGTTGTTCACAAATCACCTGGCCCTGTGCCCCGTGCCCCGTGAGATGCCAGGAAACCTCTGGCCCATCCCAAATCTCTTCCATGAAGGAGCAGCCCCATCTGCTGAGGGGCCAGGAAGGTGGCCAAGGGCCACGAGACCTTCCAGAACATCAATCATGACTTATATTGACCTTGTCAGTGTGCAGCTTCTCAGAGAGCCAGAGGCTGCCAGAGTGGCCCAGGTCAAGGGTGTCGACGGGCAGGAGGTCCTGTCCAGTCTGGGCCAGGGCCCTCCGCATGCTCATTGTCCTGTACCCGTGGCTCTCGCCTGGCCTCCTCTCTCTCCTAGTTACCCCAGCTCCCCCCTCCATTAGTCTCACATTCCTTTCCTCAACCAACATTCTAGCATCTTCTCTCTGCCCCTCCTCCACTACGTGCTCTGGTTCCTTGAAGCACAGCTGGAAATGTCCTCAGGACAGATCTGCCTGTCCCTTCTGTTGTTCCCCAGGCGTCCCTCCCACATTTCTTCTCTTCATGGACCCTACAGCTTCCTGCACAGGTTGAACCTCTCAGTGACACTCTGGAACTTTCCAGGGGACTTTTCAGGGAGATGCCCAGGGGTTCAGAGTTGGGAGGAGCAGAACACCCTGAGCCATGGGGCCAGAATAGGAGCTGAGCTTTTCCTTCTGGAAGTTTGAAGCCCCGTCTTTACTCCATCATCCACAGGGACCAGGACGAAGCTCTGTGTGAGATGGTGGAACCACTAGACGGAGATCTGGAAGATGATGAAGAGCTGCTTTGGGAATATTTTGGAAAAGATATTTTGAATGAGTTCCCCAAGTGGAGACAGAAACAAGAAGAAGCCATTAAACAGCTCCGCGCCCTAGCAGACGAGGTGGACACCACCCACAAGATAACCAGCAAGGTCAACATGGTGGCCACCTCTGCTGCCATCCTCTCTGGGTTCCTGAGCCTTGCGGGAATTGCCCTCGCCCCGGTAACCGCAGGAGGAAGCCTGGGGCTTACAGCTGCTAGCCAAACTTTGGGGGCAGCAGCTGGAGTCACCAGTGCTGTGACCCACCTGATAGAACATTCCCTCAATAAAAAGGTCAAAGCCCATGCCCACCTCCTGCAGCCCTCCAGGGAGCCAGAGCTGGAGCAGGTGGATGGCGGGGGCACGGCCGGTCTCACAGCTCTTACTGAGATCCTCTCCAAGGTCAGAGAAACCATCCGTGTTCTCAAGAGGAACAAGCAAGCCTACCGGGCAGCCAGAGCCAAGCCAAGGTTGGCCAGGGCTGCCAAGGATCTTATAAAAGGTGGCCGAGTGTCAACCCGAACCACAAGGCATGTGCAAAGGGCCTTCGAGGGCACTCCACTGGCAATGACAAAAACGTCTCTCTTGAAGGGAGGTGGAGCGGCCGCCCTCTTCCTTCTCTGGGATTTATACAATTTCTCTGAGGATTGGAAGAAACTGAAGGATGGAGACAGGGCACAGCTGGCAGAGGATCTAAGGGACTGGGCCCAGGAGCTGGAAGAGGAGGTGATAAGATACAGCCACTGCTTTGAGCGGCTGCAGCAGGTGAGCTCAGGATTTTGGAAGGGTGAGGAGGGGCATTGACCTAAATCCATGGAAACCAAGGTTGTCCAGAAAGGTTTAAGGGACAACCTGTGTAGTAGTGATGTTTGGCCTGAGGACATAGCATATGGTGGCCCTGAAGATCCAAACAGTATCAAGTAACCCTGGAGATGAGGCTGTCCTGCACAGACCTCATCACCTGTTGCTTCTGCCTGAGACTCCTGGACCCTGTGCCAGGAAGAGGGTCTTCCTGATTCTACAGAGGAAGTCATGAGCCATAGGGAGTTCTCTGGGCTGAGTTATCTCCCCCTCACATTATTCATCAAAACCCTAAGCCCAGTACATCTTGATGGGAGGGAGGGGAGGTGACAAGGGTTGGGTGCAGACCTAAGGACAGGCCCTATCTGATGAAATCAGTATCAATATAAGAGGAGGAAGAAACTAGAGAGAGTCCTGTCTGCCCTCCAAGCACTGTTAAACCAGGATGTAAAGAAAAGACCACCGACTCCAGTTGAAATCAAATTAAAGGAAGCTTGTAATTCCGACCGACCGGGCTGCCTCTCCTGAAACCCGTGGGAACCAAAGCCAGCCCCGCAGCTCTCTAGGAGCATGGCTTTATAGCACAGAAATATGCAAAAAGTGGGGGGCATCTTGAGAACTTACAGATAACAGAATTTTGACAAGAATAACACAAAGGCAGGTAGTAGCTTAATGGTCCAGCACTTAGGGGGTAAATTTAGATCCCAACTTCAGAATTTATGAGGCGCCACTAGAGTTTCAGAGAGGGTTGCTATCTGGTCAGGGAGAGCCAGGCACGGGTGAGTCCAAGGCACGGGCAGGCATTCCAAGCAAGTGTAGAAATCACAGTAATTTATAGTAAAGCCGAGATTAGCTTTTCATTTCTTTTGGGAGATGGCTCCCAATCTTAAGAGGGAATTAGGCTGGGTTTATCAGCACCACACGGAGAAGCCCTTTGAGGGCACAGAGAAGGCAGCCACCTGCCAACCAGAAAGAAGAAAGCCCCTGTCGGGAGCCCAGTGGGCCAGCACCTGACCTGGGCCAGCACCCTGACCTGGGCAGCACCCTGACCTGGGCAGCACCCTGACCTGGGCCAGTGCCCTGACCTGACTAGCACCCTGCTGTGGGCCAGCGCCCTGACCTGGGCCAACACCCTGACCTGGGCAGCACCCTGACCTGGGCCAGTGCCCTGACCTGACCAGCACCCTGACCTGGCCAGCACCCTGACCTGGGCCAGCACCCTAACCTGGGCAGCACCCTGACCTGGGCAGCACCCTGAACTGGGCCAGTGCCCTGACCTGACCAGCACCCTGACCTGACCAGCACCCTAACCTGGGCCAGCACCCTGACCTGGGCCAGAGGCCTCTGGAACTCTGGGAACTACGTGTCAGCTCTATGAACCACTCTCTCTGTGGCCTTCCATCATGGCAGCCAAGACCAGCCTGACAGGGGTGACGTGGCTGGCCAGTGTCCCCTCTGCTCCAGCTGCTCTAACAGTGTATGCAGACCAGGTGACTTGTCAACAACAGAAATGTGTCCTTCCCAGTTCTGGAGGCTGCACGGCCAAGGTCCAGGTGCCTGCAGAGGCAGGCTTGGTGCTGGGGAGGCTCCCTCTGCGTCACAGAAGGCCCCTTCTTGTCCTTCCTCACCTGGACGGAGGGGCAAGCAGGTCCCTCAGGGCCCTCTCATAGGAGCCAGTCCCACAGGTGAGGCCCCGCCCTCATGGCCTGTCACCATCCCAAGGCCCCGCCTCCTAGGGCCAACACTTGGGGGTTAGGGATTGACCTGTGAATTTTGGGGAACACAAATATTCAGGCCCTAGCACCAAGTTCCCAAAGATTTTCTTTGTTTCTTCTGATCCACCCCCACCCTGTCTCCCTTTCTCTCTTTCTGTCTGTCTCTCTGCGGACTGAGCCCAGGGGCACTTTTATCCTGAGGTAAACCCCAGTCCTTTTCATTTTTTTATTTTGAGCCAGGGTATCAGTAACTGATCAGGCTGCCGGTGACCTTGGGATGTCCTGCCTCAGCCTGCCCCATAGCTAGGATTACAGGAGTGATCAGTGCATTTAGCTCTTTTCATTTTTAAAGTTCAACAATATGTAATAATGGTACTCTGTTTTTTTTTTCCCCAGAAAATCTATTTTCGTTCTGTGTTGTTTTGTTTCGTCTTGTTTTGTTTTGTTTGTTTTTTCTTCTAGAAATTATTGAACTCTTGAAAAGAAGAACAGAACAAAATCTTTTATCTTGGGAAAGGGACGGAGACTTAAACTCAGCCTCCAACCAAGGCGCAGGAAAGCAGGATCCCCGGGGACAGGTTCCAGGGCCAAGGGGTGACCCTAGTTATCCCTGAGCGCCACTGGATGGAACAGTGCTGCCCCCTCTCACAGCACAGCGAAGGTCACGGGGAGCGGAGACCCAGGTGGAGAGGAGCTTGGGGGCCCCGGCAGGAGGCACGGCTGAAACTCCAGACCAACACTGGACAACACCAAGAACCCGGCCCTGCCTTCATTAGAAGCCGTACAAACTACAAATCTCTGTCTTCTGGTTGAGTCAGGCCAGGATTTCAGTCCCCCAAGTGCCACCTCCCTCCTGCTCCAGCCTAAGAATAAACAGCCTCACTCCTGTGTCCTCTGCAGGGTCTGATTCTTCTGATGGGAGCACAAGTGAGAAGTTAGCTCTCCACCAGGTGGCCTGCCCCACAGGGTCCCTGCTGGCTCAGAGCCAGGTTTGCACACAGTGGGATGTCCCTGTCCCTGGAACCTGCCCCACCAGATCACTTTGTAGGAAGGAAGGGGGCCCAGGAGCCCTCTGTGTCCCCCACAACCAAAACCCTCCCATGTCCTCAGGACTGCTCAAGTCCCCCTGTCTGTCCCATCCACTCACCCAAAGATGACTTTTCTTTCCTGTGCTTTAGCTGGTGTTTTGAGAGTCAGCCATGAGCTTTATATGTGATTTTTTCTTTAAAGAAAAGAAAGAGGAAGCCACACTGGCCAAAGGTGACAGCAGTTGCTATTCTTGCGTGGAATTTCCTTCTGTGCTTTTCTTGCTTTGGGTTTTGAAGTGCTGGCTTTGCAAGACCCTCCCTGCAGGCCGCATGATTGGCGTTTCTCTCTATTCCCAGGCCCCTCATTTGTCTACAGAGCTGTCACTTATCATCCTGCTGCTTTCACAAAGCAGAAACATCTAATATTCCATGCCTTCATTGGTTTTCATAGGCAGTTTTCCCACATCTTTTATGGGTGCGCTATCTGTACATAATGACGGACTTGTTACTCATCCGTTCATGCACACAGCACAACAGGACTATTTGGCCAACGATCACTCCCCCGCCCTTCCCCCTCCTTCCCCACCTCCCAACCCTGGTCCCTCTCTTCCACTGGCCTCCCTTTGATTTTCATGAGATTTCCCCCCCCACACACACACCTTTCTTTTCCTATTTCCTCTCTAGCTTCCACACAGGAGAGAAAGCATACAACACTTGACTTTCTCAGTGTGGCTTATTTCACTTAACATAAGTTAAGTTCTCAAGTTCCTTCCATTTTCCAGAAAATGACAAAATTTTATTTTTTTTTATGGCCCCATTCTGTATATATGCCACATTTTCTGGATCCATTCTTCTGATGATGGACACTGAGGCTGGTTCCATAGTTTGGCTACTGTGAATTAGGCTGCTATGAACATGGGTGTGCATGCTGATAGCATGATGGCATTTAATTCTTTTTTTTAAAAAAATATTTATTTAGTTATTTTTGTAGTTGTACTCAATAAATTTTTTATTTATTTTTATGTGGTGCTGAGGATCGAACCCAGGGCCTTGCACATGCGAGGCAAACGCTCTACTGCTGAGCCATAACCTCAGCCCCAACATTAATTCTTCAGAACAAATACCGATGAGTGGTAGAGCTGGGCTATATAGTGGTTCAAGGCCTCATAGAGTTTAATATGTTGCAAAGTATTCACTTGAGGGGCTGGGGTTTCGCTTAGTGGTAGAGCGCTCGCCTAGCACAAGGGAGGCACTGAGTCAATCTCAGCATCACATAAAAATAAAATAAAGGTATTGTGTCTGCCTACAATGAAAAAAATATTTTAAAAAATATACTCTTGACTACATATAATATTTTTCTTTTTCTTTTTGCAGCACTGGGGATTAAACCTGGCCTTGTTTGTGCATGCTCCTTGAGGGCTCCACCCCTGAGCTGCATCTCCAGCCCCACTCCTATGTTTGAGACAGGGTCTTGTTAAGTTGCCAAAGCTGGCCTGATAACTTGAGATCCTCCTGGCTCAGCCTCCTGAGCACCTGGGGTTGCTGGTGTGCACCCCCACACCTGGCTATGTACGATCCTTTAATTAGGGAAAGATTAGACATTGATGTTTTAAGTGTCCAAAACCAACTCAAAATGGCTTACACAGCAAAAGGAATTAGTTGGCACACAGTTTACAGTCTCAGGGATACCATGGACTCACATGTGTTGTTGTGGTGTAAACTAATCAATAAAATCCAATAAGAGTGGAAGTTATAGGTTATAGATTAGTAACAAATACAGATTATAGATATAATAAGTGAGATGAGACAATTATTAATCAATAACTGCCAGAGACAGGCCTAGGACTCCATTTTGCTGCCTTGTATAAAAAACTGTTACAAGAGCTGCTTCTGAGAAACTGAAATGAAAGCTCTTTTCTCATAAATATTTTGTTTTCTGTACTTTGCACCCCACAAAATGCACTCAACCCAGGATATGGTGGTCTTGGTGACCCAAGACTTTGAAGTAGATTCTCACCCCTGCTAACCACCTGCTTGAACTCCGGATACAGTTGTCTAACACCTGCTCAGACCCAAGATGTGGTCAACTGAGTTGCAAAGCTGACTGCTTTTTTTTCTAGCTTCCCTGAGTGGCTTGTTTGCATGTGCTAAGGAAAGCCCCTGAGTCGTGGTTCTCCTCTTTAAGTTCCCAGGACACAGGCCAGGAAGTCGCTGTTCTCCCACTGAGCTTGTCTCTCTGGGTGGGTGACAGTCCTGGCCGGTAAATAAAGCTCTCATTGATTTGAATTTGGACTTGCAGTGTTTTCTGAAGCGGCTCCCCGCGACAGTGTCTGGAACCATGCAGCACAAATGTCACCGGCCACCTCTTTTTCTGTCTCACAGGCTTCACAGGGCACCCAGCCCCAGGAGCTCTAGGTTCCTAGAGGAAGAGGCAGGGGAAAGGCCCTGGTCCACTCTGATTGGCCAAGCCCAGGCCCCGCCCCTGGCCCGCTGCTGCTGGGAGGTGCTTGGGAACCACAGGGGAGGAGAGGGAACGAAACCCCAAAGAGAACCATGGCTGTTGGCCTCTCCCAGTTCCTGAACTTTTAGATTATTCAAGTTTTTATTTACACAGTATTACCAAGTGTTTACCTAAAGGCCGGGTCCCTTTTCCCTCCTGGAATTGTGGACCCAATAACAAGGTGGACTGAGTGGGGGCAGGGCGACAATACTCATAGAATGGACATCTGTTGCCTGAAACTTCTTAGTATGATTCTTGGGAGTCTCTTCTTAATATCAAGGTGTTGTGATGGGCAAAGGTGCAACCCATGCAGTCCAGGGGAAAGAGAATGTCCACGTGCTTCTGCCCTTTTCAATGCTTTATTCACTTAAAATCACTCCATACAATTCACTCAATAGGTTCTTAATCAAAAGGGGACAATCCTTAATGGTGCGCACTCAACAGACATAACTAATTAAACCATTCTAAGTTAACTCTGAGCACTGCAAATGCACTTCCTCATGACAGACCTATTGCAGACATCCCCTCTGCATGCTGAGCTTGTGCCAGATTTAAAGTCTCAATCTGAGGCCTTAAGTCCAGCAGATGCACACGCACTCAGACCACAGAGACCAGGTCAGGAGCCCACAGATGCTTCTCCGGGGGTGAGGTTGGCAGCTGGCTGAGGTGAGGGTCCTAAGGAGAAGTCCTTTTCTCACCAGAGTCCAGAGGCTGCTGTGGAGTTTGAGAGTGGTGAGTGCGATGCAGAGGACGAGGCAGATGAGAAGAGTTGGGGTGTCAGTCCAGGTCCTCATCACACTCTCAGGCTTGTGTGCAGCAGTGTCGGCTGGCTGAGTGTCGACTGGCTGAATGTCGGCTCATTTGCTCTATTATTTATATCAATTTGGGGAGCTTCTGCTCGCCTTTTGGGTCCCTGTCAGCTGTTACCATGTTTCTTAGGGACATCTTGCATCTCAGGGTCAGGATGGAAGGCCTGGTGGTTTCCGCCCTGATATTACCCTTAAGGCCATTCGTACACAGGGTCCTCCAAATGTGATACCTAAGATAAAGGACAACAGCGTCCGTGGGGCCAGGAGGGGTGGTTCCCCCCACACACATTATGTCATAAGAAATCGAGTGAGATTTTTAAGTACAGGGACAGCCAGGCACATTAAGACCTGTGGGCATGGCCCAGTGAAACTTGTGACCTGGGGATTTATTTTATTTTATGTTTTTTGGTTCTGCCGATTAAACCCAGGGGTGCCTTACCACTGAGCTGCGTCCCCAGCCCTTGTTTGTTTGTTTATTTATTTATTCATTCACTGAAGTTGGGAGCTTGTTTATTTTGTGGAATGGCTGGAGGGGGAGAATGACCCAGAGAATGGGGGTTCCATTCCTTGCTGGGTCTCACTTCTGGGTTCTGGTTTCCTCATCCATAAAATAGGTGCCACCTGAACAAAGTCCAGGGCTCCATTTGGACCAGCAGGTGGAGGGCCACTCTCAGGAACAGGTCGGGGTATCCTTGAGAGAAATTCAGTCCTTGCTGAGGGAATTTAAACCCTTCCTTGGGGCAGCATCAGAGGAGAGGGAGAGCTCCTGCTTCCCTCCACCTGCTTCTCCCAGTGGAAAGCCCTTGGCCCCGCAGGACCCTCAACCCCTGACAGCTCTTCCCCCCACAGCCCGGCAGGTCCCCTGCCCCCTACTCCACCTTCACCCCAAGACACCCAGCCCCCTCCTAGCCACCGGGGTCCCCTGAACAATCCCACTCACCTCCTTACGTCTCCCCAACAGTGAAATCCTCACACTCCTGCCAGGAGAAACCCACCATCCACCCATGTCCTGCAGGCCACCCAGCCCCCGCCACTTCCCCACTTCCTCTGGGTCTGGTGAGCCCCTTCTGAGGTGCCACAGGCTCATCACTGTGCTGTCAAGCCAGGCAGAACCCACCGGTCCCCCTCTGTGGTGAGATCTGTAGAGAGGGCAGGAGGTGCACAGCGTCCACACCCTCGGGGGGGCCCCTCCGTCACTGGTCACAGTGAGACCTCGGGGGCTTTGCCCAGAGTGCTGAGCTCTCCAGAGTGGCCAGCGAATTGGCTCCGCCCCCTGAGGTCTGTCTCCTCAGGACTATCCTGGGTTGGCCCAAGGAGCCAGGAGGACGGCTTCGTGTGCCACCCTGTCTAGCTGGGTCAGCGGTCACCAACCAGGAGCTTCCGGTGGCCGGGGAGTGTGGGATGGAATGGAATCTGTTCTCAGCTGTAACTCGCACCACAGGGGCCTGAAATCTGACTTAGCACAGAAAGGAAGCCAAAGGTCAGCGTGTCCTTGGCACAGGGCACAGCCCCCAAACAGCTGTGTGGGGGAGACCACTGGACAGCAGTGTGACTCCCTCCTGACCTCGCTGCCTCCCTCACACAGGGAAAAGGTGTGCGTTTGGGGAGGGAGGGGGGAGGGCTCCTTTTTACGGTTAGTATTTCTTTTATGTTTTATTTTCCTCACTTACTCAGGAGTAGATTGGAAGCAAGGACGAGTCTTATGTTTCTTCCCACTCCAGAGCAGACGCCACAGAAGCACTGAGGGCGCTGAAGGTATTGGCCTGGGTTGACTTTTTGCCTGTGCTATTGAGGTCCCACGGGCAGATGGAGTGCACATCCCCATGGTTTGGAGGTAAGGATCCACCCTTAACCCCGTCCACACCATTGATTTATCTGCCATCTCCAAAACCTCCTCCTAGCTCGTGTGTGTGCGCGTGTGTGTGTGTGTGTGTGTGTGTGTTCCTTTTGTGATGACAGCATATTGTTTTCTGTGACTATACTGAAATACCTGAGGCTACAACGTCTAAAGGAAAGAGATGTGTTTGGCCCATCAGTTTAGGAGCAGAAAGTCTAAAGAACATGGTGACAGCTCTGGTGAGGACTTCGGGGCACATGGCATCACAAGGACAGGAGCATGTTTGACAGGGAGGGGTCACCTGTTGAGACAGGAAGTCAGGAAAGACCCCCCTCGGCTCTCTTTGTGCATCTTGGCCCCAGCCCATTGGATGGTGAGACCCACATTCAAGGCAGGTCTGCCTACTCAGTTTGGGGACCTTCAGGCCAATCCTCTTTGAAAACACCCCACAGACACACCTAAAATAATGATTTACCAATTCCTTAGGCATTTCTCAATCTGACCAACTGACCCCCCAGAGGAACCGTCATGGGACCTAATATCAGATCCTCTTCTGGGCTCCTCCCCCACAGCCCTGCAGCTCATCCTGTGACTCAGGTCGGGGATCTCAGTGGTGGAGGCCTGCCTGGCCTCCATGAGGCCTGAGGTTCAACCCCCACAGCGCAGTGAAAAACCCAGGTGTACTTTCTTAGCAAATTTGTGAGTACATGACCAAGGTAGTTTAATCTATATTGTGCAGGAGAGCTCCAGATGTTTTTTTGGAATAAAGGAAACTTTGAACCCTTTTATAGAAACCGCCTCATTCCTCCCTCCCCAGCCCCTGGAACCACCTCCATGCTCCACCTCACCGGCCTGGACGCTCAGATCTCCGTGTAAGGGAGACCGTGTGCTGGGCGTCCTTCTGTGCCTGGCTTCTTTCACGTACCGACCAGTTAAATCCTCCCACTCCACCCATGCCCTGCAGGCCATCCAGCCCCACCACTGTCCCCACAGAGTGTCCCCAGGTCCCTGCGCAGTCTCAGGTGGCAGAGACTGAATATTACTCCATGGTGTGCAGATACCTTTTCTTTGTTCTTTTCTTTTCTTGGGGATTGAACCCGAGGCTTAACCATTGAGTCCCATCCCAGCCATTCTTAATGTTTTATTTGAAGAAGGGTCTCACAATTTGTTTTGGACCTTGCTAAATTGCAGAAGCTGGCTTTGACCTTGTGATCCTCCTGCCTCAGCCTCCCAAGTCACTGGGATGACGGGTGTGGGCCACAGCGCCCCCCCCCCCCACACCACCTTTTCTTTATGTATTCTTCTCTTCGTGGATGTTTAGGTTGCTTCATCCCTTGGCTAATATGCATAATGCTCCTACAGGATGCAGGGATCTCTTTGAGATCTGGATTGCAATTCCTTTTGGTACTTACCCTGAAGTAGGATAATGGGATCAAATGATCATTCTGTTTCTTTTCTTTCTTTCTTTTTTAAGGAAACTGCATGTTGATGTCCGTAATGGCTGGACCAATTTACATCCCCAAAACATACAGGGGTCCTGTCTTTCCACATCCTGCCAGCTCGTTGTCTTTTTTTTTTTTTAATACAATAACCATCCTAACAGGTGTAGGATGCCATCTCCTTGTGGTTAGGTCATAATCCCATCCCATCGTGATTAGTGAGGCTGAGCATCTCATGTGCTCACATGAGGTTCAGCATCTAGCTAAATCCTTTGCCCATTTCTCAAATGGGTGGGATTTGGGGCTGTGGATGAGGGTTAGGAGCTCTCTCTAGTCTTGACACTAATCCTGCATATGTGATTTGCAAATATCCTCTCTCATTTCATGGAGCTGCCGTTTCACTCTGGGAAGTGCCCTTTGGTGCCCAAGTTTGTGATTTACATGAAGTCTGATTTATCCTTTTTTCTTTTGTTGAGTCTCTGGTGTCACACTTGAGAAATCACTGCCAACTCCCATTCTGTGAAGCTTTTGCCCTGTTTTCTGCAAAGAGTTTCACCAATTTATTTTGCTTGGGTCTCTGATCCAGTTTGCGTCACTTTTTGTACATGGGGTTAGGGAAGTGTCACCTTCGCTATTCTATCAGATGTCTGTCGGAGCTGCACTAGATGAACATGACTCTAAGTCCTGATGCAGCGGATTCTGAACAATTCCTGCTTCAGTCTGGCAGGACGGTGCCAGGTCACAGTGACTTGGGCGTTTTCCCAGCTCAGACAACAAGGTGTGGCTCAGGAGCAGGCGTCCCCCACTGGGGCTGAGCTACCCTCACCTGTTCCTTTGCAATCCCACCCCTTTGCCCTTTTTGGGATAGAATGTTCCATGGAACCTCCCTTTGTGTGTCCCCTATATAAGAATAAAGAATTCCGATGGCTCCCTCTCTTTCCACGGACACTTAAGGTTGCATAGCTGACTTGAATTATTGAATAGGTGCTTTCTTTGTTGTTTTCTTAAATTCTTGAAATAATCAAATTTTGTGAACCCAGCATTAGGTCGCCAGCTAGGATAGATGGCAATAGATATCTAACGTCCCCAGCACCATTTATTGAGGGTCTCCTTCTGAGCTCTGTTCTCCTCCATGGTTGACGTCTGTCTGTATTCCAGTACCGTGCAGTTTTACGGTAGCTTCGTAGTCAATTTTGAAATCAGGCAGTAGGGTCTGTCAGATCAGTCGGGGCAGGCAATGGCCAAAGGAGGCAGATTTAAAAGGGCCGCTGAACAGGCTTTATTGAGATATCACTCCCGGGCGGAACTCGATCAGACCCACAGAGGGGACAGGGGAGGGGTCTGAGGAGAAACCACGTGGAAGCTCCACTGGACTGGACTTTTATGGGGCTTACAGCAGGAAGGGAAGGGCTTGGGACAGGAAAAGGTGTTTCTAGGGTCCCTTGCCCCCTTGAAGTTGGTCAGGGGAGTTGGCTGAACTCCAGGACTGGCCAGGGGGTCCTGCTGATTGACAGGCGTTAGTCAGGAGAGCTGGCTGATTGACAGGTGTTGCCGCCGGCATCTGATTGATGTTCTTTCCTGGCGCAGGCTGCTTTGTTCTAAGTCGCCACCAAGTCGCCACCAAGTCGCCGCCACCAACCTAACATTCCAGCCTTTTTGGTGATATAGGGCGGTGAATTTTGTCTGGCTACTTCCTGCTTGTTTAGGGGCGTCGTAGGGGGGAGTGGCTCGGGTGTAGGTTCGGTGGGGAGGTGACTGTAGGGGTGTAGGAGCATCTGGTTGTAGGTCACTCTGGCAATTTCACTCACGAGCTTTCGAGCGAACCTAAGGAGGCAGGGAGCAATCATTAGTAAAAGCCCTATTACTAAAATAGGAGTGAGAATGGGAGTCAGCCACACAACGAGGGTTGAGTTTAGCCAGCCTGGCCAGGGGTCATTTGATGGCTGCTGTTTAAGCCTTTCACCCAAAGGACGGCGGGTGTCAACATTCTCTTCGACCAATCCAGTTTCATTGATATAATAGCAGCATTCTTCTTTCAGGAACAGACAGTTTCCTCCTTTATGTACTGTCAGGAGATCTAGAGCTCAACGGTTCTGCAATGCGACTTGGGCAAGAGATGTTATTTGCCTTTGTAGGGAAGTTAGAAGTGGCTGATGCTTCTCCTGCTTCCCGAAGTTGTTGTTCAAGCTTCTGAGTAGTGGTTACTGCATAACCAAGTCCTCCTGCCCCGAGTTCAGAGGCAGCGAGGGAGGAGGCCAGGGAGAGTCCAACTACTACTGGTAGAAAGACAGCCCTTCTTGTCCTGGAAAGGGAAGTGGTGACAAGCCATGTTAACTCAGCCTCTCTGTACAGAGTTAATTGGGGACCAAGGTGGAAGGAACACAAAAAGGAAACGGCATGTTGAGACTTAGACTTTTTGTTAGGGTACCATTGCACCAGAAAAATAACCCAGGGGGAGCAAAGGGTTAAGGAAGAAATTCGAACAATCTGGTCACAGGGTGCAGAACCTGAGGAAGTGTAGAAGTTCCCTGATGAGTTACGAAAAAGAGGTACTTCCTCAAAGGCTGGAGAGGGAGGTCCTTGGGGTCTAGATGAGGTATTGAGCAGAAAATCAATGGGAATCGCAGTCAGTGGAGTACGATCCAAACCTGCGCAGAGGAAACAGTCTAAAATGTTATTTACTTTGGACAAATTGAGAAGCTGAAGGCCCTGACGTATTAGGGCCACCCATGAGAAAGGGTCAGCTTCAGGATGGGCACCTGCATCCAGCTGGTGTTGGAGTTCCCTCTCTTGCTCCTGGATGGTTATGTGAATTTGAGGGAGCACTTGTATATAAGTTCTCCATATTCTGATAGAGGCTGAGGGGTGTTTGGCAAAACCCCACGAATAAAATTTACCATCAACACCAGAAGCCCATTTTGGGTTCCATGGGTCCCAAATAGTCAATTTGGTGTATGCTCGATTCTCATAGCAAGGCTTATCTAGGAAGCGTCTCTTGCATGAATTATAAGGGCACCCGCCATAGGTGTCAGGCCAGCGCTCACAAGATTCCTCAGTTTGGTCTGATATGAAGCATAGCATTGCTGAACATAAGTGGGGTGAGGTGGCCCGGTGGAATCCAGTAACATTAAGGGTGACAGCCCGATTACAGCCAGTGAAAGGGCAATCTCCTTGGCCCATAAACTGAGAGCGGGTGGTGCCATCCTGTTGCCATGTCGCTTGGATGTAGAAGCGCCATCTGTGGGTTGGGATAGAAGCTTGAGAGAGAGTAATGATTAGTAAAAGAAGGAGAGGGTTGGCGAGAAACTTCCAGTTTGGTGGGCCCCAGCATGGAAGTATGATTGTATGGGGTCATTGGGGGATGGGGAGCCTCCAAGTGATGTTGAGGCCTTTGGAGACTAGTTGAGCAACCTGAGAAGTGAGGGCTGGACCGTTGTCTGACTGGATGAAGACAGGAAGTCCAAACCTGGAAATGCTCTGCTCAATGAGGTCGGAGGCGACGGTGTCAGCAGTTTCCCTGGAGGTAGGGAAGGCTTCTATCCAACTGTAAGAGAGTGC